ATCACCCGCCACTCTTCCACCAAGCATGCTAATAATGCTAACAACCAGTCAACGCAAGGACGATCGTCTGTCGCGCTGAGAACGGCAGCTGCTTTCATCTCCCTTCACACAAGACGCTGAAACGGGACCTCAGGAGATGCAGTTGGAACTGACTGAACCTCCAACGTGACTGTCTTAAAGGAGAAGTTCAACTTTTAAGCTTCGTAAAGTGCAGCGAAATTTCCAAATATCCAGAAGATGGCACTGAGGATGCTGGTGTTGTTCCGACTCTTCTTACGTGTGTGAACAAACTTGGTGTGATGAACAAAGCAACTCCCAAAGCTCAGCTGAGAGAAGAAAACCTCCGATCTGTTCTGAGAATTGCCACAACAAAAACTAACACCTGACTTTGACGCATTGGCATAAAAAGGGAGATCAACAACACTGTTCCCACTAAAAGTGAATGTTAGTATTAAAACTGTAATGCTTTTTTTATGCTTATGTTTGATATGTATGGATCTGGTGCTAGCAGTCGAATTTTAAAAGTCAATGCGGCCCCTGAGGCAAAAAAGTTTGCCCGCCCCTGCTCCAGCAAATTGTTTGCGCCGAGCCATCTGCGTGGTGATTATGGAAATAAAGATGAATGGAGCTGCTCTCTGTGGAATGAGCGGGTGTTATCGTAGCGCTCCTGGTTATGGATGAGTGGCGGCAGGCCTGGGTCGGCTCTGTGCATTCCCATCCGGCTTCTGCTACCTGCAAAAGCCTCTTGTGCCATTTGAGAAGTGACTCAGTGTGTCCAGGCCATGGCTCGGTAAGCAGCAGGGGCCATTAACACATTAAACACAGTGACACACACAAACACGATTGATTTGCATGTGCCTCGAAGCACATATTGTACCCATGCAAGCAAACAGACGGCCGTGGAGTGGAGTGCCATTAAAGGTTCCACTACGTCCGCCGACGAGAACACATCCTAATCTCTTCTGTGACTCAGACTCTGACATCATGCTTTGGCGGTCCTTTCCAGTATCCGCATGACTTTTCCATCATAAAACGCATCATCACAGGTCAAGCGAGCATTTTCAGGTGATCCGAATCGCTACTGAAGACGATGCTAATGCAGAAACGTTGGCTTTCATTTGCCAAAAGATCACGTCTATTGGCTAATGAAGTGTGGCACTGTTTGTCTAATAAAAAAAAAAAAAAAGATCCTGAGCCAAAGTGAATATCTTGTCTTCAGATTTGATGTGGCGATTTTACCAAAGTTGAGGAGGATGATGAGGTGTTTGGATCAGAGCAACCCCGCAATTGCAGCTCTTACGATCAGGCTCCACGCCACCGGTCCAGCGAGGGAGAAACAACAACGCCTTTCGGCCTTACTGATGCAAAAAGGGAAGGAAAACGTCAACTGCAGCTGAGTTGGCTGAAAACGTTGACGCTGGATCTGATGGAAATGTGAAAATTTGCTGCACATGTCACGGAGTGACGTGCTGGTTGGACTGAGTTGTGCGCATTTTGTTCTGACTCAGGAGTTTAACTACTTACTATGGTTTTCTGTGTCTCTTATCTGTCTTTCCGGCTTTGGTACATTTTTTGTCTCTCATGTTGTGCAGTTCTTATCTTTTGTTTTCATCGCACAGCACCACAGAGTTGTACAAAGATACATTTGTTTTTTTTGTGTTGGGCTTTTAGTGCATATGCAAGCACAGCTCAAAAAAACTTGACTATCATCAAAAAAAGTTTCATATTTTTGCAATTCACTTCAGAAAGTGGGATTCATATAACAACAGACTTTGTCTATTCAGAGGAAAACAATAGTTTTTTTAATTAAATGTTAAATCCCAAAAGCGTCTGAAGTGATAAAAACGATGCATTTCCTCTGGGTAGAATCACAACAGACAAATCGCCAAGAAAAACGTTCCATGTTGCGAACCTGAATAAGTGGAGATTCCGTTAGAATTGGCTGAAAAATTCAAAGTTTTTTGAATTTGTTGCGAGACCCGGATTGTTCCGAAGCGGTGCGTATTCTTAATCACTTGACTAATAAGTGGTGAATCCGACAGTCGGGTTTTCCCTCAAAATGACAGCTGTCATTCATTTAAATCATTGCGTTGCTGGTTTTGGGTTCACTCTATTATGCAGAGCAGCTGACGGACTAAACAAAGTAAAAAAAAAAAAAAACGACTGTAGATCTCTACAGCATATAAACACCTGAGTGAAGTTGGCCCCCCCAAACGTTTGCGCAGCAAAACAATTTTTGTTTGTGCCGCCATCATTTTAAAGACATTAAGAAATGTTTCTAGAGGTCATCGAAGGTCAACATTCCCTCCCATGTCCCTTCGTCAAATCAGACACAATAGCTGTCAATAAGCTGAGCTGTGTTTGTGTTTGACAACAATTTTGTTTGATTTCGTAAAAGCCAGGGGCGAGGAGAGGAGGTCTGGTTGACCCTTTGACCTTTAACATTTCATTAGTGTCTTCAAAGCCACAGCAGCACAAACAAAAAAATTGTGGCTGCACAAACCAGCACAGACAGAGTCAAGCTGATTGACACCCTTTTTGTCTGATTTGAAGAAGGCCAACTCCACTCAGCTCATAAACCTTGAATCTGAATGAAAGTTCACTTTATGGCTCATTCATCCCGAGAATGTTCTCATCATTTCCACCAGCTGGTGAAACTGTCAAAGAAATAATAAACTTTATGAATCCAGATCCTAATCGCACAGGGAGTTTTTTTTTTATTATAAAAAATTTAATATAATTCCTCCCAGTAGTGAATGTTTTTGGAAGCGTGTCTTCACCCGTCACGCAGGCTCCTGGGAGTGGGGCCCTGACTCACCTCCCCGCTGCGCCAGCCCGTCTCTCTGTCTTCATGTCAACAGCTGAGACAGTCCGTGACTCCAGCAAACCGCCGTCCTCCTCCGTGACTGAGTCCAATCGCTGCAAGCAGGCCTGAGTAAGACCGGGCCGCCATGAGTCAACAGCCAAATAACCGCCGGAGTTATTAGCTCTGCTGAAATCACGGCTTGCAAAACAACAACAGAGACGCAGCCAACAAACCCTTCAACTCATCCTTCCGCGTTCGCCGCGACTCTGACGCCAGTAATTTCTCTTGATGTGTGGAAATAACTTTATAAAATTACTGTAATTTGTTTACTGCAAACTTTGGGTGAGCAACTCCTCCATGTGTTTAGTTTGGTCTGAATCAATGTCAGCGCCGCCCACTAGCTAACACCGGCTAGCTAGCGCTCTTTAGTGAACTTAGAGATATTTCAGACTAAACCAGAGATATAGAGGATAGAATTTCTCACACACCGTTTGTTGTAAATAATTGGCAACAATTTTATTATTTTATTGAAGTTATTTCTGCATTTTCCAGCAAAGAAATTAGTGTCAGTCATGCAAACCTGATCAAAATTGTCTTTCCTTGCGCTATAAAGCAGCCAATCAGCCGCCGGGGGCGCTATAAAGCAGTTAATCAGCCGCCGGGGGCGCTATAAAGCAGCCAATCAGCCGCCGGGGGCGCTATAAAGCAGCCAATCAGCCGCCGGGGGCGCTATAGAAGCAGCCAATCAGCCGTTGAGGTCGTCATAGAAGCAACCAATCAGCCGTCAACTCTAATTCCGCCTCTAGAGTTTTAGATAGGTGAACTGCTTCTGCGCAACATGATATAATTTATTAAATTATTAAATAATTGTGTGTAATTCAAAATGAGATTAATACATAATTTATTTTTAAGAATGTATTTCTGTATTTAGTTAGAAAAAAAAGAAATTTAAAGAATTACTTTATAGGCCATTTGTTACCATTAGGCACTCTACTATTTAGATATATAATGTGTGATTCACAGAGTCCCTTGTTGGCTAACAGAATGAGAAAGCAGATGAAATCTCAGGCGGACGGAGGCAGCAACAGAAATCCTGGGAGACGGATGGAAACATGTTGGTTTTCTGTGACATTTTTCTGATGACTGATTGTTGTGGTTCTCGACGCAGGTGCCAAATGTCTCACAGGGACGCTGCAGAGCTTGTGTTGATGTTGACGCATAACAAAAGCCGAGAGTAATCCTGCTGTGTTGGGAAGGAGAGCTCATCGAAAGTCACTCTGTTGGTGCAAAGCATGAAACCGCCGAAGCAGGGAAAGTCATAGCTCAGGTGTCACAAAAACACCGGCTTTCATTTTGATTCAAATGGAAAAGTTTTGTTTTTTTTTTCATCTTCTAAGTTGGGCAATCTTTTGATTAGTTAAAATTATTCATTGCATTTTGGTTGTAACTACAGGTGCTTTGTCAGGTTTGAAAAAAATAAAAACAAACGTAATAAAGTAAGAGACATTAAACCTCCTGGTGAAGTTTGGAGGAATAAGACATTTTTTTCGTGTAGATGACGTCAACAGTTAACTTTTCTACAAGATCTGATTAGACTTATGCAAATTATGTATGTTGCCATGTCGGAAACACAGAGTTTCTTTAAATGAAGTCTAAAACCCAATTTTGTTTAGAGTTGATCAATGTTCCAGCTGCTGGCGACGCGAAACAAATCGACTTAAAGGAACTCAGCGCTTCGGCTGTTTTCTGAAAGTTTGCTCCAACACAACACAACCCCACCAACAGAAGTACAGCTCTTGAAAAACATTTTCATTTGCAACACGCTTCTTTAGAACATCGGTCACATAAAGAAGTGTGGTTCGTCTCCCCATGCTGATCTGTACTTTCAAATTTATTGGTATTGATTGATGCTTTCATTGAACAGACAGTAGAGAAAATATCAAACCTAACAATCTTGAAAATATGGACAGTTTTGGTTGGTTTTAAACATCATTAATTGGAATTTATTGTGGCAATAAATTAAAACTTCTGTCAGGAGAAATTGATCGCGATAACTGATGCGCGATACAATAAATGCTCTCTACTAGTGAAGGATATGTGACTAATTTTATCAGATGGATTCTGGTCGTCAGATCAGCTTCAACATTTAGATATTTACTGCTGAGTTTAATATAAAACACGAATGGAAAACGGATCATTTTTCATAACATCTTTATTGGATGTGTCCCAGTTTTAAACATATTTACAGATACTTTAATCTTACTTTGTAGTTCAGTAAAAATACAAATACAGAACACTCAGTTTTGTCAAAATCAACGTCGCTGCTGCAGCGACTTGATGGTTTCCTCCTCAGCATGGACTCGGTGGTGATGATGTGGCGTTCGGGGGGAGGCGAGGGCAAAGTCTGCACTGCGTCAGCGAAATGACTTGATGGGCAAAATGAAATGAATTCAACTCCATTGACGTGTTTAATGATGACAAAGAGTAGGAGCCACCTCCGAATATGGTGGCTTCAACGCCTCAATTCAAACTTCGGAGGAAATCCTCAGCTTTTACGGCGCAGCTGCTGACTTGTGTACATAATGTAACCACGTGTGGCTGCGCTGCCGCCCGTTTTGGTGAAAAAGCAAAAATAAAAGAAAATATTCTAAACAGGTTCTGCTCCTGGTTTTCCACAAAGAAGAGTTAAGAGTTGAAATCTGGGCCTGAACTGATCAGAAGGAAAGACGACACAGAGAGAGAGAGAGAGAGCAGAGCGGCTCCGGCTTAATGAAAATACTTACAGTGCCTTAAAAAAAAAAACGTATCCACACCCTCTGAACTTTTTCACATGTTGCCACAAACTTCAAAAAGTGTTTTACTGGCGTATTTTCTGGTAAGTGTAAAGGGAAGGTTATGTTATGCTTGGTTCTAAACATGTTTCCCCCCCAAAAAATAAAATGTACCAAAAAAAAGTGTATATGTTCTCAGCACCGCTAAATATCAATGTATCAGTCCATGTGATATTTATGTGGAGTATTAGGATTATCCTCATCCGATACGGACATCAGAAATTGGTCCGATCAGGTATCAGGCCGAGAAATACATCGGATTCCATCATTATGAAGCTAAAATCTCAAGATAGAAGCACTCCGCTAAAGGACTCCGCTCCAGGATTTAGTCCAACCCGGCATTTTAAGTCAGTAATTACCCAACACTGATATTTTATACAAAAAAACAAAACAAAAAAAACTGATGTAAACGAAAAGCCGATTGGGAGTTTTGTTTTAGTTCAGTTGTACTAAGATATAAGATATTTGCACTGGAAACTGGAGTAAAAATATTTGGTAAGATTTTGTATTTTTGCAGTGCATGTAATCAAGAATCTTAATTGAAAACCTAAAACACTGAAAAGGGAGCAGGATAAACTCGCCTCTTTCTTCATATTGACATTAGTTTGACAACATTTGACAAAATAGATTATTGTAAGTCCTATAAGACTTACCTTATATAAAATTCAGATATTAATTTGATATGAAACAAGGAATCAATATGTATGGATTGTTTTAAATAAAGTGAAGAATCTGTTAGAAGTCCCATTGTTTTGACAATTTATGTATTTTATAAAAGCTTTTCAGTCACATTTATGGACATCATAACAGAATCTGACTGAGTTTAAGAGCAACTGGCTAAAGCTGAGAGCAACACGCCTGAGAACGCCAAACAAAGTAGCATTTTCCTTCCACCTCACAATTACACTCAACAAAAACAAACAAAAAAAGCATCAAAGTTCACATAAAAGAGAAAATGTAAAAAGATTAGACGCTTTTGGAAGGCAATGACTGACATTGTGAGCATTGTGGCTGAAACAGGAAGGAACCTTAATATTGCTGCTTCTGATCAGGATGTGTCATGCTGTGAACAGATATATTTGACTGGATAAATCTGCGCTGGCCTGGTTCCACATTTACACTTGAAAGCGGTTCAAAGGTCAAGATCAGACTGAACCAGGTGTTGGCGACGTAGTCAGATTGGTGCGGGGCGATGCGGCGTGAGCGGTCCTGAACGAAACGGAAACCACGCGAGAACCTACTGAGGTTTCATGTCGGTGCCACCAGCACCATGCCGTACTGAAGTAAACATTATTTAGCATTGTTCAGCTACATGCGTCTTCTGTGTCGAAAGCTTTTGAAATGGGAAAAAGTTTTTTTTTTTGGAGCTCTCGTCAAATGGAAACATTAATAATAACGAACAGAAGCGAAATAATGCGATTATGCAACACACGTTGACAGGAGAGTCCCCCGTTTCCATTTGATTTATAGATTCCTGCCTGGCGTCCGCCCGCTTCCCCCTGTGGTCGGTTCACCACGGTTCATTTTTGCCGGTTTATCGCTCGGTTTTATTCTCGCGTCGTTTTACACCGACTGACCGGAGTCCGGGTTTCTTTTTATTCCACGCGAGGCGTGCACGTTTCCTCGCCTCTTGACGGTTTAACGAGGCGGGTTCAAGCGCCGGCCACGTCCAATGTTTAAACGCTCGGGACGGGATTTATGAGACTCAGAGTTGAGTGTTGAATCAGCGGTAAAACACTCTGGAAGGACGACATGAGGAGGAACTGAGCTCTCAGTGTGAGGTACAGATAGAAAAGCGGCAAACATCACAGCTAAAAAACCAAAAAGGTCTCAAAGTGTAAACCTTAAATCATAATCGATGCTTTATAAAATAAATTTTTAGGGCAGAGGAGTCATTTTAATACGCACTAAAGCACTTCAAATGGGGAGGAGCGACCATATCTGGATGATGTGTCAATGAACCAAAGAGCTTGACTGCCTGCTGTAAACAAAAACTGACAAAGGCTTTTCTGAACACGAATATGTGGCAGTGCAGAAAAAAAGATGGGAGTGAGCGCTCTTGCTTTCCTGAAAGATATCTCTTTATCAAACCACTTTGACACACTTCGTGTCTTGGCTTCAGCCCAGAGCCGAGAGGACGGAGAGACAATACCGACCGAAGGAGGAGTAAAAAAGAAAAAAAAACAAGTGTAGAAAGCCAAGTGTTGTTTGTGAGCATAAAGTTCTCAAGCGAGAAATTTTGTCGTTTACTGATGTCTACCACTTTTGCTGTAGACATCTGATATACTGTATAGCACTAAGCTATATCAATAAATCTATTCATCTGATATTCTTAAATCTCCCTGTAGCGTCTGAGCCAAAGAATGGATCATAAATCTGAATCGATTCTGATTTTCATAATTAGGTGACATGTTGAAAGAAAAATTACAAAATTAATTGTAGACAAAGTTTACAAGACAGACGGGAACCAATGAAAAATGCTGACAGCTACACTGCGGTTCAGTTTAATCCTTACAGGTAAAACACTGGTGGTCTGGATGAAAGTCCTCCTACACCCCTGTGTTTACCATGGTAACAAAGCTTGTCAGGACTACGGTCGAAATTTTGGCTCCGTCCAAAACAGAAACGAACATGTTCAATTTTTGTAAACAGCTAAGAAAAACGATGTGCATCAGCAGCACCACTGAAAATGCTGCAGTCTGTATGACGAGCCCGATGATGGCGCTGCAAGACCACCGCAGAACGACAAAAACAACAAAGAATGTCGCCGTATTTGTTATTTACGGCAGTGAGGCGCATGCTGGACGGAGAGAGAGATGGATCTGCGTCGTCATGGCTTCAAAACAAATGGAGGTGGCACGGTCAGACGGAAACACTGACATGGACCCTGGTTTCAAAAATGATTGTCCACACGGATCCGGCGTTTTGGGAGACCAGAAACGGACAGTCGAAGCATCCTAAAAAAATCATTGCAGATACAACTAAAATCATCTCTGGGTGGGCAGGGCCCAACTTTTCTTGAATGCTGCCAGAAATTCTGTATTTTTGTATTACGGTTTTCGTCACTCTGTCAGGCCGGGCTCACCACGAAGTGCTTTGAAATCCCTGAGTCGGGTGCCAGTCTACTGGATCTCCAATCTACTCCTCTCAAAGAACATTCCTGCTTAATTTCCCTTCCTTAGTAAATAAATCAGCACTGAAATCTCCACCTTATGAGCTCACATTTCAGCTGTAGCTGTAGCAATCGCTGCTTTGGGTGACTATTGAGAGTTTGTTGTTTTGTACGCAACAACTTTTCAAAATATTTCTCAATTTTGAACATGGAAATGAATATGAACATCATGAGCTAAAAGCAAAAGAGAAATTGTAAAAATGGTACAGGACTTTTAGCACTTTAAATGGCATGCTGAAACCCTTAAATAAAACATGTTTGAACTTTTCTGGAGACATAACTACATTTTGTACTATGTCAAAACATTTTATGCAGCTTAGCATTTGCTAAAAGCTCCAGAAAGTTGAATAATTTGACGTCATGAGGATTTGAAGAGTTTGGTGTTCAAATCAAATAAAAAAAACTTAAGATTGTTTTCACATAAAGATGGAAACAGCAAGAGCAAGACTAATAGATAGTGGAGGGACACAGAAAATGGAAGATGAAAGCTCTGCACCGAGGAGTATTGAAATCATTTATTCACCTCTTTCAGTGCTACACCACTCTACTCTTTTGTCCTCAGAGTTTTCCTGTAACAAAGTGCACAAACAAATGATTTAAAGCGGAGCCACCGACACAAACACGTATACCAAGAAGCGAGGTGTCACTGAAAACGGAGGAAACGAGAAAATCTGAGAGGAAGGAAGGGGGGGGGTGAAAAGAGTGACGGTACGATAATGGGGGAATCTGTAGAAAATGGACAGAAGAGCAGCATCCGGTGAAGCAGCAGCAGAATGGTTTTAGGATGGGACAGAAACTGGTAAGACTGGTACATGGAGGCCTGCTGCTGTTCTTCTTTAGTTACTTTTTCTCAAAATGGTCCATAACGCCAAAAAATTGCCGACAGAAAATAGCTTCATATTAGGTGATTACTGCTGTCCCCACCTGCTTGTAAAGAGGTGATTAGATTACAGTTTGAGGTCTTGATCAAACAGGAAACGGGTTCGGATCGGGGGGTTGGGGGGGAAGAAGTGGAGGGCTTGTATCCGACCCTGTGTCTCCATTAATGCAAAAAAACAACAAAAAAAAAACAAAACCCAACATCTCATTAACAGACCCTGTAAAATGTCCACTAGTCCGTCAGCATGGAGGGGAAACAAACCCTTCAAGTGTCCGTTTGCGTAATCCTTCAGCTTGCACTCTTAGGGCCTCGGCTCGAGTCAGTATGGAGGACGTTTGGTCAAATCAAATGAAAAAAACAAAACAAAACAAAGCCTCTCGTGTGGAGCTCTCTGATTCAGAGCCGAGAAAAGGCTGAGCAGCACACCCACCGTCCGTCTGGTTGAAGCAACGAACACATGGATCTATAGTGAGAGTCGGAGAGGAGGACACAGAAATAGAAGGAGGAGGAGAAGAAGAGAGGGGGATCCAGAGAGTCAGTCCGATCCTCTGGGCTGCGGTCTCTCCGTCTCCTCTGGCTCATGTCTGCAGTCTGGACGCAGATGAAGAGTTCCCATGGAAGTTTGTCCAGTGTTGGATGGGGTTGGTGGGCTGGGTCGAGCAGAAAGGTGGCGCCCCCCAGTGCTGTGGAGGAGGAGGAGGAAGAGGAGGCGAGTGTGTGCGTCTACCGCTGAGCGGGCTCGCTGCCAGGCAGGGTGATGTTGCCCAGGTGGAGGACGGGCAGCGGGTGGGCCTCGGTGTTAAAGACCCAGCTCTCCAACGGCATCAGGTCATCGCTGGAGAACAACAGGTACAGGTACCTGGGGGCGGGGCATGGTGGAGGGTGGGGAGGGCAATGTAGGGGTAGGTAAAGGGAGTAAAGGGAAAAATTAATAATTCAACATGACAGCAAACCCCGAATAAAACGCTGATGCTATTGCTACAAGGTGTTCATGAAGAAGACATTTTTGTGTCTAACTTCTTAATTGCTGCAACAGAAGAGGAAAAAAGGCCAAATGCGCACGACTGGAAAACGATGTGGTTTCCTAAATGCTGCTTATCTGCTGATCAGAGGCGAGCAGCGGCCAATCAGAGCGCGGCTGCTGTTTTGCTCTGATGGGATTCTCTCAGCTGGGACAAACACTGGAGGAAAAAAAAAGATAGAAAAGGACACAAAAGGCTTCCAAACTCATAAGGATGGAAATGTCAGCATCTCAGGGAGCGGGCGGCCGGCGTGGCAGCTGACATTTCACAGCTCACACACCAAACACACACACACACGCACGCACGTTGGTGGCATCAGAAGCCTCGTCGGTGTTCGTTTCAATCTCAGTCAAAAGCAGAGGTCTGATCGGCAGCCCGGAAATGTCACTTTACTTTGGAGGGTAGAAAGAAGAGAGCAAGGGAAGACAAAATAAAAAAAATGAAGGAAGAAAAAATACAGGACAGATGAAGGAAGGACAGAAACTCAGAAGAAAGGAAGGAAGGGAAGAAATAAGGAAGAAACAAAGGATGAAGGATAGAGAAAAAGGTTGGAAGGAAGGATGTAGAAAAACAAGTGTGAAGGAAGGGCACCATAAATCATGGCAGAAAAAAAAGAAAAACAGAAAGAAGTCAAAGGCATGAAGGAAGAGATGAAGGCTGCAAGAAAAGAACGAGAGAAAGAACAACAGCAGGACACCAGTGACTGATGTAGGGAAGAAGGGAGGATTAAAGGAAGTACACAAAGTAAGTAAGGGAGGATGAAACCAGGGAGTGAAAAGACACAAGGAAGAAAAAAAGGACAGAAATCAAGGATAAAGACAAGGCAGCAAGGAATTCAAGAAGGAAGGGAGAAGGAACAAATGAAGGACAAAATGTTTAGATCATGGAATAAAGTGCATAAAGTCTGGAAATGCAAACACTGTTCCATAATCTATTTCTTTCATATTTATCCAGACCTGGAAAATTGCGAGCACTAATTCCAGACTGCAAAGGAAGCCTGAGAAACCGGTTAGAAAAGCAGCACAGAGCCTGAAGGGGATCATTTACACAGAGCAGCCAGCAGGGGGAAGCAGTGAACCACCAGAACAATTCTCCCCAGACTCCTTTGAAAGCTGCTGCTCAACTCAACAGTGATGGGACGGAGAACCAAACCAGGGATTCCCCCTGCATCAAACACACAGCATAAAGCAGCTACTGCTTTGGTTCTGGGCAAAATCCAACTTACACTGGACTTCCACAGGTTAAAGTGTCTAAGTGTTGAGGAGGAAGCTGCTTCAAATCAAACTCACTTGAGCGTCTCAGCGAGGAAGAAGCTCTGCTGCACATCGTCATAGGTCGGGTTGGACGAGTAGACGTCTTTCACTCCGGAGAAGCCTCCACTCACGCGGCAGTACTTGTCAATGGCCTGGAAGAGACCGGATGGAGAGAGGGAAAGAGGTAAGAGTCTTTTTCAAACCCGATGCTGCTGCAGATGCCGTAAAATTCCAACATTTATTACATTTTCGGCTTCTGCCGTTCGCTTTCACAGTCACAGCCTGTGGTGGTGCTACACCAAGAACGACTGAGGAAAATGACACAAAGCCTGAGACGACGACACTGAGCACAACTATGTAAACTAAAGAGTTTAGTGGTTGTAGGATTCCTCTTTGGTCTTTGGCAATAGAGACATTTCTCCAGCTGGCATTAGACTGGGTAGTGGCTGGTATTTACCCAGAAAGCAGCCCGCTTTCTGCTTCTAGAACAGTCTCTGGTCACAAATGAATTCAAATTGCCACAGAGTTCACTTTAACCGAGGATTTCAGGCGGACCGGAGTTAGCTTTTTTAATTGCGCGCTCCCACTTCCCCAAACGAACCAGACATTCGAGGCAAGCAAACTGGAGTTTGATTAAAGAGGATTAAACAATGTTGGTTTGAATGAACCCAAAAAGAGCAAGAAGTACAAAGAACGAGAAGCCACAGGGAAGGAGGCAGGGAAATCGCAAATGTCAAAAGGTGTAAAACAAATGAAGACTTGAACAGAAACGAGCGGTGACATCTAAAAAGAAACGGTCAAAGGAAGGAACGACAGATCAGAGAGGACGACGAAAACGAGAGCAGAAAGGAGCAGAGAAAGAGAACGCGTGGGGGAGGAGAGCACATTTTAATAATCTTATAAAAGCGCGCTGTAATTAATTTCTTTGCTTTAGACAGATTAGAGCCGGTCCTGGGGTGACAGTCAGGAGAAAGCCACTCTACAAAACACAAACGCTTCCCAGCACTTCTGCTCTCCTTCCACAAAAAAGCTCCAGAACGGGAGTAGTCGCAGCTCAGCCCTCCTCTAACGACTCAATCTAGTTTAAAATAAGTCAGCAGACATATCAGAAATGACGTGCTTTGGGTTATGATAGTTCGCATTAGTCTCTATACATTAAATGTTCCATTGGAAGGACGAAGGCTGTCACCATCAGGGAACAATGTGCTAAAGTCTGGAAGCTGATCCTGAGCCGGAGAGACGGCCTGATGGTGAGTAAATCAGGACAGTTGATGGTAAAAATTCCCGACCGGTTTACATTTCGCACAGCTGATGTGTTTGTGTCCTTCTGCCTTTCCTTCTACCATAACAGACTTCCGAGACCTGTGTTTGTTTGCTGCCGGTGAAAAGTTTTCGTACACTCATTGTGGGATTTCCAAGATCCATTTCAAACGTTTGTTGAGAGTTAGACATCCAGAAACTAAAATCTGGGACACAAATTTAACACGAGGGTTTTCTCTAACTTACAGGGTCTAATTTATACAAACAGGCCCAAATATATTAAGGATGAAGGATGTATCGGCATTAAGGTTGGTACCGGTCTATATTACTAGGCTTTTAACCTTTCGGGATCGGTCCAATAAATAAATCTGGGCCCATATTAACAACTGATATTTATTTCCATTTTGTTGCTGTTTCTTACTGAAGGGGCAGTGGAGAAGTTTGATCATGTGACTCAAACAGAGTTGCCATTGGTCATGTGATTGCACGAATTGGAATTCTGAAAATAAATTTGCTTAATGGAAACGTGTTAATTTTGAAAAAAAAAACATTTTCTTGTTTAAAAAAAATCTTTTTAATGTGGCTTTTGGGCTGTACTGAAACGAGTGTATTTCGCAAAACTGTAACGGAAAACTTTTTCCACGTCACACGAGTCACATGATCAACAACCGGATTAACTACTGACGGAATCGACAAAGAAAACAACAGGAAGTAGTTGGATGATGACGGTGCGGCATTTAAAAAAAAAACTTATTGCATGAACATTTGCCTGATTTTAATTGTATTTCTCATTTAATGGAAACACAGCAATTGCAAAATTGTGCATTTTTTCAAATGGTAGCAGAATATCGACAAATATTTCAGAGCATTTGGAATGGAAACACAGAAACCAAGCCCAACCAAACCCACAGGCAATGGTTCGGTCAATGACTTGTTTTTCTTCAAGGTATTGAAAGCGTAGTAAAATAGATATATCTATAAATATCAATTATTGGCCATATTTGATTTAAATAACAGCAATATTTATATCAAATTTCCATATTTGTGCATCCCCCAGGTGTATGATGTCAGAGTAAATTCACACCGGTGTCTTCAGTTGTAGATTTTGAAAAGTAGCTGAAATCCTTTACTGTAAAACCACAAACATTCCCCCAGCGTTCGATATACTGCGATAGGATTACTGCAATGTTTCCCCGCGGTTGAGTTCAGAGTATCATTCTTTGAGGATGTTTTCATTTTTGTTCCTGATTCGGACACAGGTTATTTAGCACAGTGAGCTGTAATATTCCTGCATCTGAAGACTGTCTCGTCGACGGCAGCAGCAGCACTCAGGAATTCAACGGGCGACACTTTTCTTCTCACGGCACCTTGGGACTCTTAAATTGGACGAGCGGCTAAAGGCACACAAAACCAAAACTTAGTCGGTATAGAAAAGGCAGTTCTGTTTAAAGGCTGCAATCAGGTTCGCTGCCCCACAAGAAGGTATGTAAACAAGAAAAATTGCGTTATGATCTACGACGCAACATTTCCGACTTAGTTTGCTGGTGACAAGACCAGGGAGAAGAAGTCAGAAAACCACACTGAGACCGACTGTCGGATTAGACAGCCATTCCAGCTCACATTAAATAAATACAGACTAAAACTTAATAATAAAAAAGTTGGTACACCAGCCTGCACTCAATATCATTAAAAGTTAATCGATCGTCCAGCAGGTGACGCTAGCGGCCCGCTAGCACATATGAGCTCCATTGATTTCCAAAGGAAACTTATCACAGTAGATTTGGCCCCTGCTGACTAATTCTGGCTGCATTATACTGCGGGACACGGCCTATCGACTTTCACTATTAACACATGTAATTGAATAGTATTATCTCTACCCCTCGTCTTTTAGCCATTCCTCCATCTCTCTCTCTCTCACACACACACGCGCACGCACACACACACACACACACACAGATCGAGTCCATGCAGGAACGCCCTCGTGTGACCTCGATGCCGTCAGCAGATTTGCTTCGCAGAGAGTTTGGGCCATAATTCCTGATATTCATGGGCCGCTGCAGGACAGCGTGAGCCTGCACTTCTTGATTTATGGAGCCGTGTCACTCTACTCCAAACACACACCCACACACACACACCTACACCCACATGCACACACATGCACACACACACACACACACACACACATCTATGCAAATATACATACATTTCAGCAAGCTAAAAGGACTAATTACATGTGTTGCTATTTAAAACTAGCTTAACATGAGTTAAATCAGTTTTACTGCGATCTTTCAGCCGCTGTGAGGCGAGCGCACTCTGACAATCAGAAGGCATGACCATCTGTGCTAAATTATTTGTACCATTAAACTGTCCACCGGTGAGGGGAGAGGCGGGGCAGGGGGCAACAGCTGCCAAGGTGGGACATATTTCACAGCGCAGCAGCCGGGCCTTCACCTTCAAACTCATTTACAAAATGGCACAGAAAGCTGCGAACACACAAACACAAAAAGGCTTGCCGCAATAAATTTTCCTCAACGATAGATAGGCCTGGAAATTATTGTGATAAATTATAATATCGTTGTTTTGGACAATTTTCAAGTAATATATTGATCGCATAATAATGCGACTTCAGTTTTACAAAGAACCCCCAGAACTGGAAGATATTTTAAATATCTTCACAACAAAACAGGAAAAAAAAACACATCTGAAATTATGGATAAAACGGATTATGTTTCTGTGAACAAAGTAGCTCTTCAAATGAATGTAAATGATCAAATTTATTTGAATTTATCATGCGATGAATTGATTAATTGCAACAGCCCTATAAACAAACGAATGCAAACCAACCAGCATCACCGGCTCATTTGGACGCTTAAGCCAGACGCTCAGAAGCTCCTGGCCTGTAGCAGGTTGGACTCCACAAAAGTCTGTTGATATTATTTTTAAAACTTCCTTCATTTTAAGACGGCTCCCGTTGCTCGACAATTTTAAAATCGATACGTGAACAGCGGCGACAACACAGCACTCCTGTGCGACGCCAACATTCTTCTTCTGTGAATGCGGGTCACAGAAGTTTGAGGTTGCATTTAATTAGTAATATGAACAACCACAAACGCACAAAAAAAACAGACACACACTCAAAAAGTATGATGTCAGCATAAAAAACAAACAAACATTGGAACTGAGCCTTGAGACTTATTGTGTGAGTGCAGCCTTAGCTTTCAGCTAACTAAAGTTATCAAGGGCTTTTCTTCAATCTCAAACCAATCCGCTCTCTCAGCTCTGACCCGTGGCGTCAACACGGTGTTTTCATCCACTCCAGTCCGACTCATTGGTTATTTTCTTTCTCACCCTGAGAGATGGCTCTGTGTGAAACACCCAGACCGAAGCTCACTTTCTCTTGCCCACTCGCGCGTTCAGTTTCAACTTGAGCACGACGTTCAGATGCCTGAACAAAGAGTTGCTGCCATGTTACTACAAATGACTAGATGTTGGTGTCGACAAGCAACTGGACAGGTGCATCTAATCAAGAGGCCTGAAACAGTCTGACAGATGTTTATGCAACACACCGAGGCTCGGGTGTTTGCATGAGAAAGCCGGCTCGCTCAGCTATGTCAGAGAAATGCATTTCACTAAACATACGAGAAATGTAGCTGTGTGTCATCTAGAGAAAGCTGCAGGTGTCTGCGAGACGTGAGTGGGTTAGAGTACAGACAGTACCGGAGGAGGAGAGGCGTTCGGAGAGAGCCTCAGGTAATGAGTGACAAACCTGGTGTGAAGACAATTAGTGGAAAACGATGAATTCTGGGAAGAAAACAGAACTTTTAGCAGCAATGAGGGGAAGAAAAAGAAAGTGCTGCTTATTAGAGTTGTTGTATCTTATGGGGAGAAAAACAACAACTCTGAAATACTAGGAAGTGATTGCTAGGCTGAGAGTTTATTGAAGTTAAGACTAATGCTCCATTAGATTAGGGCAGTCCAAACTTTCTGCTATATGGGTACCGAAAATCTCTTTTGTTATGAAGAATGTGAAAAACTAAACACAGAATTTTAAATAAAATATACGACCCAGATTTCTATACAGAAAGAATCTGAAAGTCCTGTAAGACATATTCTGGGATTATAGAATATAATCCAAGTCTCTCTTTTTTTGTTGTTATTTTAGACTTGTACCTTGAAATTGGGCCTCTGTATCTTTAAAAAGCTTCTACTCTTTCTGAAACATCACAGCATCTTCCCTCTGTTAACAATTTAAAACTGCAGTTCTACCAGGTGTTTGCTAACTGCTGCTGGCTAGTCTGAAGGAGCTGAGTGGAGGAAGGCTGCTCAGTGAGGCAGAAACTTGGAAACTGCAGCTCAGAGGAGGGGCTTCGTCTTAAAGGCGGAGCTAGGTCCAACCAGGCGTTTTGCACAGCTGCCATGGAGACTAAAGAATTTCTCAAACATCAAGGCAACACTCCAGGTATGTTTTTGATGAGTAAATATAAGTCGATTTTACATGATACTTTAAAGAAAGTTAAAGTTTAGTCTTAACTTCCTTCAGACAGTAAAAAAAAAAACAAAAAAAAACTTTCTAAAATTAGATGGATAAAATTTTCCACTTCATCTGTTTATAACACTTTTCAAATTTAGGTTTTTAGTCAAATATTAGGTTGTACTTTATTGCTAAACTTTACAGTTTTAATATCACTTTATACAGAAATCAAGCACTTTCCAAAACCTTAAAAACATCAAACTGAAATTCAAAGACTCTCCAGGATAGCAGCCCTGTAAAAGTTACTGTATGATGGTATGAACCATCAAATTAAAATGTGGTTTGTAAGAGATTGTGTGTGTGTGTTTTTTATTTTTATTTTCACTTTAAGGCTGCTTAAAATGTTTCAGAAAGCATTTTCATTCAAAACCCACTGAAATTTCACATCATCCAGATCAACTTGCAGAACTATAGCTGAATAAATCCCTTCATTAAATAAGGATATCTTCTGTCACATTTATAACTGTTTACCTATGAGGTTCAACTAAGCAAAAGGAAGTAAAGACGAGGCCTTCAGCGCCAGCTCTCTTTAGTGTCACTCAGGATCGCGGCTAATAAACGCACCTGCCAGTACATTTGCTTGGCACTTGTGCTCATATGCTATTTACTCCCACTCAGAAAAACAAAAACAAAGAGCTGCTAAGAAGAGAGAGAGACAAAAACTAAATGACAAGACGACTGGCAGGAGAAAGGAAAAGAGCAAGAGATGGAAAGAAGATGAAAACGATGAGTCTCGCACCGAGGAACCGCGCTGACTTATATAGACGGTGAGCGCTCTAATCCCCCCGTCAGAGAAGGCTTTCAGCTCTGTGCTATTTTCAGATAGCTTTTATCATAACACACAGGAAGAAGTAAAGATTGTCTCGGAAAAACAAGCAGAAATAAAGCAGATCTCCTGCCTAAAGGACCACGTCAAGCAGGTCACACGGATGAGGCGGGTTCAAACGGGAGCAAACTTTTAACATCTAGCCGTTTGACACATGGTGATGTCACTCGGATTAAATAAACATTTTTTGGAGATGAGATTTATGAAGTGATTAGAAAGTCCTTGTTATAAAAAGGTTTCAGAAGAAACTAAGAAATATAGGACAAAAGATGAAATTAAGACAAAATACAAATGAAGAGCCCACTGTACTGAACCCATTGAAAACCTCATGGTTATTCCAACAAATATTATCATAATATTGATTTCTGAACTCACTCTGAGTTCAAATATTAGTATTGTTGTTACTAAATATGAACGAGTCTCTCTGCATTATTTGAGTTCTAAAAGCATGGCATCTTTTTCGTTATTTTGTCCATTTCTCATTTTCTGCAAATAAACTCATTTTTTGCTTGGAATTTTAGAGACACGTCATAGAATACAAATGATATCACTTTATACAGAAATCAAGCAATATGGGTACCTTTTATTAAAGGACAATGTTTATTTTACTCACTAATATACAGACAAAGGGTAAAATCAGAGAAACTGATCATTTTAAGCATGACTAAAAGAAAATTTGATGACTTAAAATTGGGCCTGTCTCTTTAAGAAGCTCTCGCTCTTTTTGAAACTCTGCCACCAGGAAGTCGTCACAAAATGGCTCCTCTATAACAACTTTTTATTCATTTTTTTTTTTTACCAGATTTGCACTGAGGAGTTTCTTGTATAATGAGCCGAGCATCTGCTCAGCTCCACCAGGTGTTTGCTAATTGCTGCTGGCTAGTCTGAAGGAGCTGAGTGGGGGAGAAAAGATGGCTGGTGCTCTGTGAGGTAGAAGCTTGGAGATTTGGAAACTGCAGCTCGTTCCACGCAGGCATTTTGCACAGCTGAATGGTTGTCATGGGAGATTAAAGGATTTCATGAAAGAATCTAAAACACTCCAGGTGTGTTTTTTCAAAAAAGTCACTTGTACATAATCCTGCCTCTTTTACCCTCATACTGAATCAGAATGAGCTATGGACGACACTGACTGCAGAGTACCTGGGAGACACGAGCTGCCTGCTCTCTCTTTGTGCATTCATCGAGGCGATCGTTTCAGACACGCTCTTTATTTCCTAACGTCACTGATTACATTCATTTCTCCCATTATGACCGATGTGTGGTATTTCAGCTCGTATTGACAAATAATAGCCGCGGCCCTGAATGCAAATTTTAGGCAGTCGACAACGATAATTAACCAGATATGAAAGGGAACTGTGACAGGAGCCATTGATCTCGCATTTAAAGCGGGCAGCACTTTGAGATGGACGACGTTCTGTTTGTGGCGACGACGACGGGGAGGCTGGAGGAAAACAGGCGGAGCAGTTTATACATCTAGAGGCTGTTTTAACACCGCCATCTTGTACACGCTGCAGAATAACACAAACAGTAGCTGATTGCGCTGCAGAAGTGTTTGTGGTCTTTAATATGCACATCTTCTCATGCTGCAACCACATACTTTGACTTTCGGGATTTGATGTGGTAGACCAACACGCATTAGTGCACAAACATACAGAAGAAGAAGAAAAATGTTCCTCAGTTGTTAAATTTTCCTGATCAGAAGCAGAAATAAACAGCTCAGGTATGAGAATCTGTTAACGGGAGATGTGTATTCAAATTTGTGCAAAAGTTGTAAGAAATAAAAACATACTGTTGAAAGAGAGTCATGTGAAGAACACAGGAAAGATTCTGGGGGAAAAATGAGTTTTAGCTCAAAAAAACACTAAAGATATATAGTTTTGCTTCCACTCAAAGTGCTATCTATGGTCAACACATCATTCCCACTTTGAAAATGGTAGATTGAATGATCTGCAGACAGAACGGTGCTGGAAGATAACAGTGAAGGTCTCACAAAAACCACAGAGTTACTATGGACTGATTGATTTGTTATAATGGCCCAGTCAAAGCAAACAAATAAGAGACGTTTGGGAGTAGATCTGAATCCAACTGAGACTACAAAACGACTGTTTATGGAGGCTTTGCTGCTTCAATGTTCTCCATCTGACAGAGCTCGGCAGAACGATGGGCAGAAATGTCATTCGCAGACGTGCAGAGCAGCTCGTTGCTGCTGTCGCATCAAAATGAGGTTTAACAAAGCAGCAACTCAGGAGGGCTGAACATAAACGCAGGCCGCATGGAGAGAGGTTTATGATTTTGAAAAAGGTTGAGATTGGAGGGAAACTGTAATTTTCTTTCCTCTTTTCAATCAGGCTCTCTGTGTGCGTTGGTCGAGGACATTAAGATCTAAATAAAACACACTAAGTTTGTGCTTTTAATGTGACAAAATGTCAAGCGAAGTTTGTGTAGCACATTTCAGCAACGAGCCAAAGCCACTTACATTACATTTTGTCACATACCATCATCGAAATCATCAATGTCCCTCAAATATGTTGCTCAGAGTTCCACTTGCTGGATTTTTAGCCTTGATTTTAGTGTTTTGGGTGTTTTGCAGTTTTCTGGGAGCTTTTTCCAGATTTGTGGTGCATAGAAGCTGAATGCTTCTCAGAATACTTTTGCACAGCACTGAATCTGTGGCCTTAATGGAAGAAACGCAAAACCCTCTAAAAATCTAACATGATCTTTGTGACTTATGTACAAGGAAACAGAGAATTGAAGGGTAAGACGTTCATCCGTCTACTATGTTATTTAACTTTTATATAAAAAAAAAAGATACAAAAAAATAATTTATCACAACCTATCACTATGTTCTGACAACATAAGATTAGATGACATGTGGATGAAAATAGAGATCCTTTGCCTTTTGGTCCAGCAGACAACCAATCAGAACCAGGAGGAGGGTCTTAGCGCTGTCAATCATGCTTATGTACGACAAAAGCCTTTCATCAATGCTAAAGCTAGTTAGCTTGTCCACCACACTTACTGTCGTTTTTCTGGACAGTAAGCTGTTTCTCTGCCATTGGCACATTTAGCAACATGTATACTAGCATGACTGACAGTGCTAAGACCCTCCTCTTCACTCTGATTGGTTGTTTCTGCAGAGAGTGAAAGAAAAGAAGCTCAAATTTTTTTTTGTCTTTCTGATTATCTGGCATTCTGTAACAAATCTGTAAAACATGACACACTGCAGCTTCAGAATAAAATCCAAATCATCGTTTGTCCTTACCTGAGCCGCCTCCCAGCCCCATTGCCTGTATTTGGGGTCGTGGGTGAACCTCCACATGTACCAGTAGGTCTCGATGACCTCCGGCCGCAGGATGTAGTACTTCTCATTCTGCCGCACGGCCACCGCCTCCAGGCCGCTGTCGAACTTAAAGGCCTCTGGGCCCAGCTTCAGGACTGGGGTGATGATGATGGTGATGATGATGGAGGACAAAGGAAATGAAGGAAGAGAGAGATTAAGATTGAATAGAGTGGGCGGGTTAGGAAGGTAAACAAAGGAAGGGAGAGAGTGAAAGGAACAAATTAATGAGAGTTAAAAGAGGAGAATCTTTTGCTCCCTGTTTGTCTTAATGGTCCAGTTGCTGTTGATAATTAGACTCCGAATAGGAGTATGTGCGCAAACACACACACAGATGGACACACACGTGGAAGTAATAAAAAGCATCCAGCTGCATTGATTTTACCAGGATTTTTTTCCCTCAATCTTTTTACAACCAATGTCTTCAGCCCGTTAAGTGTACGGAGTATTAGGGCGGAAGGCGGGAGCTGACAGAGCAACGTCACAATTTTGCCGACATGTACGTGATGCTGCATCAGACCGCTGACAAGTTTTACTGATTCATTTATCTCAGTCAGGCTTTGCTGAAGGAGAGGAAAAACTAACAAAGTTTAAAAAATTAATAAATGAAAGAAGAAAAAATTTATACTTATAAACAGGATGTCTGATGATCATAGTAGATACTAAGCCCCGCCCCAAAATAATGTAAAATACAAGATATATGGCTGGGTGAAAAGATTTAAAAAATGACAATATATCCTGTTATTTTAGCCTTTTTCCTTATTTCATACCCAAACTAACCCACTTACATCTCTGTGGGTGGGATTGAGTTGTTTTATGTGTTGAACAAGATCAGCTGCCAACTTAATATGCCAAATAGGCATATTAAACTTATCCATTAATAAATTTATGCTTTCCCAATAGCGAATAATCCAAGATGGCAGCGGGATGATTAATGGGGCTGGAATGTGAAAAAAGGCCCCGAGTGCAGAACCCAAAACACCGCTGCACCGAGAAACTTTGGGATTGGAGGAGAAAAGTTTCGACACACGTGTCTTGATCGTTAAAGATCTTCATTAAAATAATGAGCAATGTTGATGGAAATGAATTAATAAGCTCGCCTACATGTCACTGTCAATGTGTGTCACATTTAACATGAAATATGGTTCCAGGAGATGGGCTGGAATGAGACGTTTTATCGGCCAAGGAGTGAATTGTATGACGCACGGCACAGCATTTTCTCACCTTTTAACCACAAGTTACAAGTATCTCAGTGGCAACAGAAAGAAGTACATTAACATAAAGTAGGTGGACTGTTAGCCATTTGTTTTTACAAATAAAACTCTGAAACATGAGGTCATGTTAGCACACATGAAGACAAATAAATATGTGCATTTTGCAGCCTTTACATTTTTCTGTCAGGATTTTCTTGCGTTTAGCTTCGTCATCTCTCCTGACGGTGGGCACACTTATGCTAATGCGCTAAAAGCAGAGCTAATGTTTCCTTTAGCGCTCTTAAAACATTTACCACTTAGCTTCCCATGGAAGTAATTTGTCCCGATAATTTCTAAATTTACTCGACTGTAAAGTAAACTCTCAGATCATTAAAAGTTTGACATCGGAGCATGTCATCGTCATTCTTATGCATTTTGCATTGGCAGTTATATTGAACAAATGTAATTAGTTTTGATTTTACATATTTGACCAAACCTGGGAAGCCATTGGTGTATTTCAGTGTGCTGTACTGGTGCAGAGTTATCAAATTAATTTGTAATTCAGTGCATTTATGTCTGTGTTAAGTAAATTCAGAATGGTTTTTTGTATTGGATCGGTATCGGCTGATGCTAAACCTCAGATATCGGTGGTGAAGGCAGCGGTGCATCCCGAATTCTACTACTTTTTTTGTAAAGCACTGCAAAACAACAACATCTGTGACAAAATGCTGTACAGATAAAAATCAACACACAATCAAAATATGGAAAGGACAAGAAAAAAAAAAGAAGAGAAAAAGTCTCTACTTTCGACAAAAACCAAATAACTAAGAAAAGCGTCACCTGTCCTGTCGTAAGACTCGTGGCAGGTATGGGCGATCTCTGCACCGAGCTGCAGGTAGTGACCAGCCTTGTCGTCCGGCGAGCCATCGGCGCCCAGCGCGAACATGCCGCCGGCGAAGCAGGCCAGGTGGCCCATCTTCCTCTCCAGGTGGCCGTTCTTCCACTCGCCGATGAACGTGAGCCCGCCGTTGGATTTGCGGATGAGGTGGCGCTCGATGGCCTGGGACGGAAAAAAACCCATTTCACTCTGGATTCAACAAACGTGAAGGTCCGAAAGCTGCGCGCGAGTCACCGCGGCGCACCTCGATGGCGTCGTCGTAGGTCTTGCGGGCTTCCGTGTCGGTTTTGTCGGACATGAGCCACGCCTTCAGCAGGTACTCGTAGAAGCTGTCGCCCAGTCCTCCGAGCGAGGTGTGATCTGCGGAGAGACGAGTTCTGAGATTAGCTGGAGACGGAGAGAATAAGCATGAATTATTCAGTTTCAATCTGTGCCCCAACGTCCTTGGCAAAGCGAAGCCATGTTTTTATTTTTGTTGTTTTTTTTCCCCTTCACTTCTCCACAGCCAAAAAATACTGGCAGCACACTTTCTGGTTTTCCCCGTTTTGTTTACCCTCTCATATTTCACTGTTCCCGGTAATAATTACTGAGGTTTACACAGCTTGAGTAGCTGGACGAAGCAGAGTGAAAATGGGACTCCTTTAGAGTGGAAACGTTCCAGCGGATTTAAAATGAGATCCCGTGTCCCTTCATTTTAGTATTTGTACAGTAAAAATATGTATATGCTGCTCACTCCAGGCCCGCACGCTGGAATTAAGAGGGAAGTTCCAGATTTATTATAGTTTTATCTAGTTAAAAAAAAAAAAGTAAGTAAAAAGGCTCTCCCCGCCTCTCTGTGGAGAAATGGGATTAATTTCAGACTCTCTTCAGCTCCAGGTAGCCACATCTGATATCCGAGCAGATGCTTTGTTTCTTATCAAGCTTTTGATCTGGAGGTGAATAACATGCCTTTAGGGAACTGGAGGGATATTCAAAGACAAAGAGCAAAAGAGGAGAATGAATTATTCATTCTTTGTCAAGCAGAAACATGACAACCCCACCTTCAAGACACTGAGGCTGAGCGATGAGTGTGGCGCCGCTGTTTATTTCCTCTGGTCTTCTTTCAAATGTCTCCTTAAAAAGTTATAAAGCAGTCATTTACGGCAGATGGAAATGCTGTTAACTGCAGCTCAATGCAGTTTCTTATGAGGTTTTTACGCCGGTTGAATTGCGAGGCAAAAGTTTGGGAAGGTGTTTTTCAAAAGTTTTCAAGCACAAGAAAGTCAGAATGAAACTGTGAGGACGTGTCACCAGCAGGGCCGGATTTAAAAGGTTGAGGGCCTCTGGGCTGGAGCTGAATTTGCTGCCAAATCCACTAAGGAAAAATTATTTTACTAAAGCAAATTATTTTACTAAGGCTCTACAGTAATAGACAGTCCGTATGAATCAATGCATTGTAGGTTTGAGCCGATAACTCTGTGTTGTTCCCAAAGAAATTGAATGAGCTAAAACTGATACTAGAAAGCTACTTTCCTAAGATTTGAATATTCATTAATAAATTCATGAAAATCCCCAAAATATTAATGATGCAAGTTACCTAATGTGGGTCAATGAGTTTTAAATATAGTACAATCTTTGCAAAATATGCATTCATTGAAAAAAATAAAATACAAATTTTAACAAATCCTTGGTTGCCCTGGGCTACTGCCGCTATGCTGCCTATTCACCTCGATTTTATCATTTTAATTTTCTGTTCATCCAAAGTTGGCTTAATATTACAATTTATCAAAGCTGTAAAAAAAAAAAAACTGTCTGGAAACGATTTTTAATACTTAGGAACAGAACTTACAGGTGTAAAATCTGTAAGTTCAACAACTTTCAGAGTGAGTGACATCGCCATCTGGTGGCGTTTGGAAGAACTGGTTTATAAATGTTACAGATTCAATGGAAAGTAACCAGCTTTAGGCTGCACTTTTCAAAATAAACTGTGGAATGATGTGAGATAATCATACCTTACTCAGACACTAAGTCTATATTTTATTATTGTTGAAGAATTGAAGCTTTAATATTTTTGTGTTTTAATTTTGAAAGTAGTTTTAAACCTAGGCTGGCAATGTTTTTATTGACAAAAACAAAACGGTGCAGCAGCAAACTGGCATGAGGTTTAAGTTCATTCAAAACTCTAAAGATGAACATGAATGAGCTAAAACTGGTACTGAATAATAATAATTTAACGAAAGGGCTTTTAAGTTGCTGTTAGTCAAGTCGGCTGCACTAAAATATTACCTTAAGACACCAAATGACAGTAAAGGAGGACCTCCAAACCACAAATAAAAGAAAATCCTATTGCTGGAGTGTGTTGGTGCAAAATGACACGATTCATGGAGGAAAGGACAAATTGTTATGCTAAACAGGAAACGAAAGCACGGGGGAGAAACTGTTTGACAGAAGAGTTTTAATATGGTCACAGAGGACCCCATGTTACTGGTGCTTTGTGCTGATTAGAGCAATAGACAGCCCGTAGAGCCTCCCCAGTCTGAAAAAGTACTGTACAAACAGAGCCGTAATGAATTTAAATGTGTGTAGTGAGTTACAACTCGAGTGTGCTTCCCTGACAGGTGATCAAAAACGTGCGAGCACACACACCCTGCTCCAAACACCGGGGACTTAATGTGAAGAAAGAGTTGGGGAGAGCCGTCATTTCAAATCAAATGAATTTGTCGTCTCACAAAACAAAACGTGTTTCGCTGGAGTCCTCGAGAATTAATGGGGGAGGAGGAAAAAAGTCAAACCCAAATGAACAAAATAAAATAGATAAATGATACTAGACAGCTGCTTTATTATTAAGTAGATGATGGGAAGAGTTCAATGATTTCCACTCTGAAGTGTGATTCCCAATGATGAAGGTTAACTAATTTAACTGATTTGTTAATCCTGACCCATGGCAAAAAAAAACAAAAAAACAAAAGAAGATACTATTTTGGTGACTTCTGAAGGCACTTAATCGCACTGGATTTATTTGGGGGCACCAGAGTAAAGAGGGATAGATGCAAATCTATGGCTGTTCTTTATTTGTAAACAAAATTAAAATGCCTGTTGAATGATAGTTTGTGTTTAAGTAACAAATAAAATCCTAATAATTCACATTCAAGATGTGGTTATAATGTAACAAAATGCGAGGAAAAAAAACGTGTATAGAGAATATATCAGTTTAGTTTTTGGATAAAAGTTGAGCTTTTAGCTCGTCATCCTGTTTTGTTAACACTCTGAATACACTGACATTGTAAGTTATAGCACATTTTTTAAAAAGTTAAAAAATGCTTCACATGATAAGAATCAAGAAAATGTTTGAGAAAATAAACATTATGTTGTTAGCTGCAGCAACAAGCTTTGGATTTCAATTATTTTGCTGTTTGCGCAGCGTCAGCCTTTACCCTTGAGGCCTCCAGCTGATTAAGGCCACATTTTCATCTGAGATGGAAAAACAAACAAAAAAAAAAATCACAACAAACCTTGATTATTATTTTTTTGTTTCTCAGACTCCGCAAAGCATCCAAGCTGCTACATGCACCCACTTACAATATGCTTCTGGGAAAAGGCGCGTGATTACAGCAAGGCTCGATGAGAAATAATTATTACATATTTTGCAAAAAATAAAAATCTATCGCGTTTTAAAGGACGGTTAGAAATCATCTTGCCTTTTTTCAGTCAATTAGACGGATTGAGGGAATGATGGGGAATTAAAAAAAGTGTGTTGCCGTTTGCACTAGAGCACCAATGAAACCACCTGACGCAAACACAAACCATCCATGAGCATCCGTCTTCTGGTGCGGCCCGCCGGCTAACTTCCAATCCATTAACGTACTCAACTATCCCTCAATCAACCTGCCCTCCCAACAGCTTCCATCCATCTATTTTCCCCGAGCTTTTGGCTCAAAGTCTGCATTTATAAGCACATCAGTCCGACTTCCGTGTCACCTGTCCGTCCATTAATGCGCTCCTCCGTTTGTAAAGATCAGCGAGCGCCGGCAATTTATCTCGCTTGAAAGGTAAACACAATCAAATTCTGAGGAGAGATATTTAAAGTCGATTCAAAAATACTTTATTTTTTCCCCAGAGGGAAATTACATGCTGTATTAAGTTACATTTCCACAGCATTGTGAAGCTCGGATGTCTGGGCCTTATCGCCTGTTGTGATTGGTAGAAGAGATTTGAACTTCAGGTTAACATTACTGTTGTAATTCAGGTATTATTTGTGCTTTTGAGATGCTAATCAGCGGCTCCCACCTGCCAAAATGATACCTTGTTGCCACGGTTTACACATTGTGAAAACTAAGAAAAAAAACAATCCTTCCAGCTGCACAGCAAATAAAAAGCAGACAGAATAATTGTCTTAACACTCAATCAAACAAAATACTACAAAACAAAAGTCTACAGAAAGAATAAATCAGACCCAAGTAAAGCAGAGTTCTACATATTCACTATTTGCTATTAAGCTGGGAGTTTGGTGGAACGCAATATGCTCAATATAGCATAGCATAGCCATGGCAACCTTTAGCCTATGCAAACGTACGGATGCAGTGGATTCAGTCTTAACAGATTTCATCCGTTTATTTCCTCTCCATGAATATAAGATCAAGATATCTGATCATCTATAATTTGTTTTGAACTAAAATGTTCAGATATAAACTGTATGCGTATTTTCAAAGAGGAAGGCTGTATAGCATTTCTCAACCGTATTCTTGTCAAAATAAAGTCTTCATGTGTCTAAATGTAAAAATATAAACTGCTCCACTTAGGAAAGGGGTGTGAATTAGAACGAATAAATCCATTTAACATAAGCCAAAAAGTGCATTAGTTAGGAATAAAAGGTTTCAGAGGAAAACCTCTGTCACTTCTTCAATAACTTCTCTCTGAGAGCCGATCATTTCTCTGGGCAAACTGCCAAATGTAGTCAATCTAGCGACAACGCAAAACCCCTCATCATCTTTAGTCGTCTGCCTGATTCAATTCGTCCTCATTAACGAAGATCCATGGGACGTTTGTCTTCACTTCTCACGGTGCTAATCTCTTGTTTTCCGTCGTAACGGCTCTTAGGAGCCAGGGGCCGATGGAAGCTTGCACCAACATCTTCGGACCTCTCCAAACAGCTTGGTCAGATGCCAGCGATCCAGAAACGTTAAGATTTATGACTGAAAAGTCAAATATATGGCAAGAAATGTTTGGATTGTGTACTTACGTTGGCCCCAGCGGCCTGTACGAGGGTTTAAGTAGTTTGGGTAGAGGCCGTTGGGTCGGTCCATCTTAGCTAGCAGCTTGCGGATGTGCATCACCTGAAACAAACATTTTTAAAAGTTTTAGGCAGAAAAGGGTTGCTCACAGGCAGAAAAACAGAAATGAACTGAACTAATGGAGATTATTGATAACTGATGGAAAACCTCTGTCAGTGAAGAAGGGGCATTGCTACTGATTGATGGGAAAGCAAGAATATCCAGGCAAATAATGGTGCGTGTGGTGTGTTTCCCCCACTGTCATCAAGAGCCTGGAAGCATCCATGTTGGGTGTAGTGTGGCTTTTGAATGCGTGGGAAAGTCGTTCGCTCCATTTCCATTGACCATATCATAGCACAAGTTGGAATTGCGAGAATAAATCGACAAATTGACTGTGGTGGTTGAATTTAAAACCCTCGTTAGTCGCTACAGAAAAGTGCAATGCTGGCAAGGTTCTAGTATGTGTTCATGTTGGCAGAAAAAGACACTTTCTGATGAAACCAAGTCAATTGCTCTTGGGTTTGGATACCAACACTAGTCAATTCTGGGCTGCTGTAACTGGGTCAGAAGGAGTAAAACATGTTTTCTTGACGCAATGGATGTGGAGCATTGCCACTTCAAGAGGCAAGTTGAAGTCACACACGATGGCACCAATATGCCAGAAGTAATCTTACAACATGGGCTGAACTGGTTTCTCCTCGTCTATGTGGCTAAGACAAATCTGCTTTCACTGTTAGCTCAACAACTACAACAACGTAGTGAACAGTAGAATAGGTCCAATGTGTTAAAATACCCAGTTATTGAAACAGAGATGGATGCTACTGAACAGTGCTACCTTCTGGTAGAAAACCGGGTTCCCAGTCAGGTAGGTGAGGTGAACAAACTCCATGTGGAGGGTCCCAAACTCAGCCAGGATGCTGCTGCCGGCCGACGCCCAACCCCAGTTACGACCAACGCCGCTGTAGAGGAGGGAGGACAAATCTTAGGACCTCAAATGCGTACAATCAAGAACATTTTGTCAGAGTCTCAGTTAATCCAACAACAAAATAACGGGAAACTTTCTCCTTTTAATGTGTCTAAATGCTTGCACACACCTGAAAAATCTGTTTTCTGGCTAGGAGTAGAAAGATTATGAAACCATCCTGCTAATTGAGGAACCAGTAAACATCCCTTTTATGTGCGTCTTTATTAGCTGAATTTCTTACGTCATGTTCAAGATAAAACACGCTACCTCGGTCCGGTAGCGTGTTTTATTTGCCGAGAGGCTCGACTAAAATGTTAAGCGTCGGTTTTCTGCCTGAGAATTACCTTGAGAAAAAAAACAATTCCCTTTATTGTACCACTTAAAACCTCAGGAGCTCGGTGCTTGGCAACAAACCATCCATTAGCTTTATAAAGCACTGTTTAATGTCACAGCCTGATGTAATGCTTAATGATTTAGGTGATGTAAAGTTATTATGCGTCGATAGTGGTTAGAAAGGAAGGAGAAGATGCACATGAAGGTTTTTTTTTTTTTTTTTGCCACCAGCGTTTAGTTTATCTGGATGAAAAAGGAACTGAGTGAAGCTTTTCTGCAGGCTGTGAACAAACGGGGTGAACCGAGAGTTCACGAAGCACAATTTAACACTTTTCCACAGCCTCTGACGGAACAAAAAGAATTCAATAAAAAACAGCACTCTTTGGTATTAAAACCCAACGGTTTGAGGTCAGGATTTGTTTGAAGGAGTTGTGGGATTAGCAAACACTCTTGTGCCCTATGAGCACAGTTTGCATTTACCCACGCTGGCCGGTGAAGAGGTCCAATCAGGCAAAGTAAGGGAAAACGCCTGTGTGGGTGGAGCGTGGACGTGTTTAAAGCTGTGCCAAATTAATTGGCCGGCACTGTTGTTTGCAGACCTCGCAGCATAATTTCAAGCATGACGGTATTTCAGATGTTGATTCAAATCAAATCTCTTTTTTTTTTTTTTTATTTCAATGATGAATAAATCAAAACGTAAAGGGTTTTGATCACTGTGGAGAAGCAGAAGCATGGATTTGTTTTGGACCTGCACTCCTTCTCAAATAAAGACTCTTAGACAAGGTAGAGGCTACAATTGAGTTTTGTCTGGTTCTCTAATTTCACTTAAGCAAAGTTTGTAAGGATGTGGATATATGAGAAGGGGAAAAAAATCACAAAAAATAAGAGAAGTTATTGTAATTAAATAATTTATGTGCTCATCTTGTTTATAATGCAATCTAAAACCTAGAAAAACGGCATGAATGATTTACTGTGTTCTGTGCTCTCTCTATTTTTCCATTCTGAAAACCAAAATCCTCCACATAAGCAAAATGCCTTCTATTAACTGAAGCACAGAGGTGAAAGTGTGATGAGTGAGGATTTTTTTTTTTGCAACACTTGAATTTGAGGCTGATTGTCTGAAAACTGAAGTCTGGATCAAAGCTGTAACAGAATGGCTGAAAGAGAGTCAGGGCTTGCTTTGGCCTAGTCAAAGCCCCGACCTCATCCCGATTTAAGGATTCTTTTGGGACCTTAAGAAGGCCATGGATGAAAAAAAGCAAAGTCTGGGAAACAAAGAAATACCAAAAAAAAATGGGGTAGATTTTATTCTTGCAAAGTTTTACACAAGCCGGAGTCCGTCAGAGGCGTGTCCTCGCCCCACTTCTCTTCTCTCTGCACAAATGACTCCAGCTCAGCGGACGAGTCTGTGAAACTCCTGAAATTCACAGATCATACCTCTGGGACTGCACTATTTGCAAAAACCAGACACAATAGAGACATTTTCCGTTGGCTGTTTCTCTGATGAAAACTAAACAGAGTCTCCAGACAGATACCATATTGCATTGTACTAATTCTACCATGTCTTTCTCTTTTGTAAAATATTACATACACTTCATACATATTCACAGGAAAGAATAAACTGTCTTTTCATTTGCCTGTGTATATTCCTATTTTAAATGTCACCACTAAAAGCAAAGCAAAAGACAAACTTGGCCAATGAAGCAGATTCTGATTATGACTCTACAATCTATATGACCAACCTGCTATATTTACACACAGCATTTCTATTATGGCTTACTTATTGTTTAGAAAACCCGTGGAATCTGTCCTTTTTGTATACTTAAAAGTAGATCTAAATGATGCTATAACCTGAAATAGACAGGCAACAAGACTGACTAAAAGACAGATTATGAAACACTTTAACAAACTGTGAATCAGGCTTGCGTGTATTCTTCTTCTCTATGCTGGCTGCTCCAGACTCTGTCACACGGCAAAAATGGGCTTAAATGGTTACTGGGTAAAAACAACACTGTGACGGAGTAACGGGGTGTAAAATGGCAGAGCGGGGCAGCACAGGTAACCTTGAAAGGCACTGATGTCAGGGGAATGACGTGTGCAGTAACATTTGTGCTTTAAAACCAGGTGCAAAGACGTGATACATGTCTCCTACTTGCTCTTTGTTGTTCTGTTTTTATTTGACAAAAGCAGGTCAAACATTTCAGTAAAACAGGGCAATTTTGTGGAAAGAGATGTAGTCATGAAGTTGTTTTAGTTTCTTAAGGTAGTGTTAATATTTGCTTACAACTTAAACAGTGACACCTAAAAGTTACAGCAAAAGCACTTGCTTTATTTTCTGGAGTTTTTTGAGTCTTGTATGCATCTATTTGTCATTTAGAAGCTCAAAACTAAACAGCATTTAGTGGAAAACGTATCTCACCTCTTCAGGTTTACCATGGCCCAGGGAATCCCAGTTGGGGTGTTGAAGGCAGGGATGAGCTTCTCTGCCAGCTGGACTGCCTTGACTTTGAACACCTGGAGAAACAGACACAGGGGTAGGAGTAAAAAATAAATAAATCTATAAACAAATAAATGAAGCAACAGCAATAAAAAGAACAGACACACAGATTGGTCTTAGTATGTGGGGAATCTGAAATGCGGAAATCAAAAGTGAGATAAATTACAGAAGGACAAATAGCAAATCAATCCAGGTGTCTGCAGAATTACAAACAGCTGTATGGTTTTTTTCTGGAAGTAGTCTGTTGATATTCTGCTTAATTTAAGAAGTTCTGTCTTTTTCTTCAACAATCTGATTCTTATAGGTTTCCAAAATATTTTTTGACATGAGAAACAAGAACCGCCGACGTTTGAATTGTAGACGGTTTATAAGGACTTTATCTCCATTCTGAGACGTTACGTATTCGGATCACAGAATGTTTCCAGGGACATTTCTGCTACAGAGGTGTTGCTGCATTCAGGTATTAGCTGAGTCCAAGGTGAGCGCTTCATAGAATTGCAAATTCTTTGTTTTACCACTGCAGATTGTTAAAGCATGACACACATATATCTGCGGGTAGTGAGAGGCATGTTGTTGCATATACAACGTATCCAAAATTCAGCCGATTTACATGTCAGGACTTGTAAATTGTAAATACATAAGTAATTCAGAGGAAGGCTGGCTTTCAATTGGTCACAAGTATTTAAACTGTCCTCCAGTTCCAGTGTTAAGTTTTGTGTACAAAATCAACATTTGTTTGTTTTTGACAGGGTGAGCTTGTATTATGTCATTTTTAACATATTGGTTGGAACCAGTTTCAAAACGATATCATTTATCATGTTAATTTCTGGGGCAATTTATCGTCTGGGGAAAATGTATTATTGTGACTGGCCTAAGTACAGTATTATAATTCATATTTCTGAAGCTGCACAGAAGCTTTTATGTTATAATCTTTGTCAGTATATTATTATCATTAATCTAGAGCTAGATGATATGACTGAAAAACATATGAAGACATGAGGGTCATAACAGTCATTTGTTTTTCTTGTTGTAAATATCTGAAATACTGCCAAACTGGTGGTGTGACCTTTCCTATTTTGTCCTCAGTCTTTACTTCACGACTCTTATTTTTGTTTTCAAGCCGTCATGAGGCGTAGTGACAAAACCTGAAACTGCTGCTGCGCAAGTTACTCAACAGCTTGTTGATAACCAAAGACCAAGAGAGTGAGTCCACTGACGCCACCAACATTTCTTAGTTGGAGGATGTAGGCCCCCTGCCTACATCCTCCAAAATGCTGAGTGGTTCTGGATCGGTGTTCAGTAAAGCTATTCAAAAGTTTACTGATTGTATCCTCTATTGGTTTATCTACTATTGGGATACATATTGTTATTTATTGCATATCCCTATGTTAAATATATAAATGTATATTAAAAAAAACACGTCTCTTGTGTGAAGCTACATACATTTTAAGCATGTCTATTCAGATGGCATCACCATCTACATACGAGGTCAGACCCCGTCATGCGTTTTACAAGTCGCCACACGTGCTCATCATCATAAAACCCTCCATCCGTCGGTGACCTCCCGGTTGGCTGCATCAAGGCCCTTAAAGTTTTATTGCCAGCTCTGCCGCTGCCGCTGCCATCAAGCAAGAACGACGTTCAAACGAGCCATCGGAGCCGACCGCCCGGCAGCCGCACTCAGATAAAACTGGATGGTTTATGATAATCTTCTTCCTGCAGTGATTTCCTCCTGACATGAGCATGGAGGGGGGGAAACAAGCTGCCATCGGGGAAACATTAAAACAGGTGTAGAGGGAATTGTCTAATTAATGATAGTGTATTGTCGTTATCTTGTTTATGCAGTTAAAAACAGTAATGTTCTGTGGTGAGTGTTTCTTCTAACGTTTCCCAAACTTGGTGCTTTTTAAACAGCCCTGTTCAGGAAAAAAAGTTACTACAGGCACTTTCAATCTAATTAGGGAAATTAAATATTAATGACCAGGAAGATGCTTCAGATCAGATGTTTATGTTCTGTCGAGTCTTATATCCCGGCTTTAAATTATTATGCAGAAATAATTAAAAAGCCTAAAGGCTTAGAGGAGGGCTGCCATTCACTCGTAGAGCACTTCCTCATTTTGCAGCCTTCATAATGGATGAATGTTATTCACGCCGACAATCTGTCCTACCCAACCAATAACCACTGAATCGTGAAATGTAACACGGTTACACCGTCAACCAAAACAAAAACAACACTCGAGTCCTCTTTCTCCTTGACACGTCTAATCGCCACAACAGGATCCCCCTGAAGGTCTAGGCGCATTTGTTCTATCGACATCGTGACCGCTGTGGCGCCAAGACGAGATTGGGACATCGGGAACCGTTGGGGAGGACGGGCCCAGGCGGCTCTTTGTCATTTCCTAACTTGCTCCGACGGCTCTGCCTCCGGGGCTGACGGTTTGAGAGTCCGGCTCTTTTTTAAATGCATTACAGCGCTCTTTAAAATCGATCGGTCAGGGATGTGTTCGGCGCGCGAGCACAAACCCACACAGATCTGTGCACGCACAAGCAGGAAATGGAAGAAGGCCGGGCAATGCAGTCGGTTTGTTTTACAAATAAGTTCAAAATGATACGATTGTATTTAGTTATCACAGGTATAAAAAGTAGCAAAAAAAATAAATAAAAAATTAGCTTTTGTTTTAAGGGATGCATATTTTTCTCTTCTGATATTTTTCTCTTCTACCTCAGATATCGATTATGATATCAGTATCTGAGGTTTAGCACCAGCTGGTACCGATAAGATACAGAAAAGTAATGCTGAATCGACTTTGAATATTACTTTTTTTAAACACAGAAAGACAGAAATGTACTGAATTACTATTTTATTTGGCAGCGCTGCACCAGTACAGCACATTTAAATACACCAAAAGATTCACAAGGTTGGTCAAACGTAAAAACAACACAACTTTAATCCATTCAGTTATTGCAATCAGAGATGGAACAGCCTATGTGAAACAAATAATAAATTGTAACAAAAACAATATGTTGAGGGCTCTGATCAGACATGTAAACAATAAACTGCAACAAATTATCTTTCAGATGGTTCAGAAAGTGTCAAATAAATAGTGAAGAAAGACGCCCCACAGAACACAAATCGTAGAATTAGTCTGAGTAGATCTGCTCTTATGGATCGGACGCATTGTCCCCTACGAATGAGCTGAAATTTTTTTCAGATACAAATAATATCGGATCAGTGAATCTCTACTTGTCTTTTCAATATTAGAAATAGAAAACTTGAAAAAAAATTTTTTTAAATTATTTATTAATAGAAAAAAGCTACAAAAGACATCTTTGTTACAGCCATTATTCAGAAAAAAACTTATATTTGCGTATGCTACCGTTAAAAGTAAAAAAAATATCTCATGTTGCAATGTGGACACATGCGTCTCATTGACAATTGCAGCAAATGTACTTTTTTTACTTTTCAAAGTTGGTGGATGTGACAGTATTATTCTATTATTTCTACATCAGTTAAAAAGATTTTATTGCACTTAGCTTGTTAAAAACGCAGAACCGTTTTCAGGATGCATACCGCCTCTTTTAGATGTTAGAAGAACTCAAACGGAAAGTGATCATGTCTGTAGGAAAGCAGTGTTACAGTCGCTCATGTTAGCGGTTTACAATCTTAGTAGACTGTTGCTATGTTCGGTTAGCCACACATAGCATCCTGTGTTAACCTATTGAGCCAGAATTATTTGTTATCCAGTTCATTCAAGAAAGTGCTTTGAACGATTGTAGCAATTTCAAGAACGTGTTGCCAAGTGAGCCACATTTGATACTGCATGAAGATCGATGTGATGTCAATGTTGCATCACATCGATGCAACGTTTGCATCGATGTGCAAATGTCAAACCGAACACACCTGCTTACAGAAATGCCTCGACTCGTACATTAAATCTGAAGACTCAACGTTTCTTTCGATGGAAAAAAAAAACACACTGATAAAATAGGCTAACCTTAGCTTATGAGGATGTAATAAAATAATTTTATCAACCAAATCGCTCCACCATAAAAGCACTGCGTACAATGTAGAGCGACTAGCATGCTCTCTGGGGAACGCACTGGGCCACTGTTGACACGTTATGACGCCTCCTAAACGGATTATAGGGTAGACTGTGAAATGTGCTGCCTGGTAGGAAGGGCCCCGAGGGGGCCGAGCAGACGAAGACAGGATTAAGTCACCCGCTGTGTGTTTGATTACCGTGTGTCATTTTTCAGACTTTGTTCTGCCACTTTCCCCATCAGCTGATCCATTTACTCGTATTGTTTAGCATTCACTGGCGCGGCATCGCAGGCAGGGCGAGACACAAAGGAGGAAGCTGGCGTGTGGAAACGCAAAGGGCGTCATCAAATTAGCTCCAAGAGAACTTCATTTGGCCCAGTCACAATATGAGAAAGTGACAGACTTGACGTCTACCTCACTCTGAGCGTGATAAGAAATGATGCACTGATGTCATGATAAACAAGACGTGACTAATGGATCATTTTGGCTTCCGAATGGATTGTTCCTGCAGACATCCTTCTTTCCTTCATTATTTAGTCAAACTACCAAGCTATCTCTATCTTCAGTGTTACATGTTGTGCGTACGGTAAAAATAAATATGCAGCTATTTTTTAATGAACTCATATAACCTACATCTGAACTGCGTCACATTTTATTACATACATGCAGCTGGGGGTCATTTTGAAATGTCTGTTGCTTTTACCAATTGCAAAATTGCTCCATTTCAGTTAGTTTGGTTTGACAGAGTCTGGAAACGACACATTCAGAGCAGGCTTTGGATTTGGACTTTAACTAGACCTTTTTCACAATATTTCATTGCACCTTTGGCTCTATGTTCAGGGTGATAGTCCTGCTAAAAAGGGAACCTCACCATGTTTTATGTGTTCAGTCATTTTCAAGCAAATGACACACCAAAGGACTGAATTTACTAATTAGTTTACAGAGGACAAATGATTGAATTGAAGGTTAATTTAG